GATTACTAGTAGTGTTATTAGTAGTATTACTATTCTTATTTCTACTACTATTATTAGTATTGTTATTGGTGATGCTATTAATAGTGTTACTATTAATATTATTTTATACGTACTAATGTTATCATTCGTGTTATTATTATTATGGATAGTATTCTTATTCTTCTTATTGTTATTACTATTATTATTATTATTCTGATGAGTAGTATTATTGTTGTTGTTATTGTTATTAGTGATATTCTTATTATTATTATTAATATTAGTGTTAGTATTAGTATGGGAAGTAGTATTGTTGTTGTTATTATGTGTATATTCCATAAAATTGGCATTACTATGCTTAGTACTATTTCTTATTATGAATAGTATTATGATGTGTCTTGTGCTTCTTAGTATTAGTAGTATTGTTGTAGTAGCATTCGTAATATTAGTCTTATGGGTATTCTCAATAGTATAATCATTATTATCAGTAGTAGAATGATTATTGTTATTATTTTGATTATTCCTCTCATTCTTTCTCCTCTTCCTCCTCCTCCTCCTCCTCGTCCTCCTCCTCCTCCTCCCCCTCCCCCTCCTCCTCCTCCTCCTCCTCCTCCTCCTCATCCTCCCTCCTCCTACCCATCCTCCTCCTTCATTCATTCATTCATGGGCCATTAATAAGAGGTCAGCCAAACCATGTTCGCCTGACCTCAGCACCGACGGGGCCACGGCCGCTCTTGGGCCAGGCCCCTCACCCACGAGCCCAGCCCTGAGGCATTGCAGAAGGCATTTGGGGCTCGAGGAGGAATCCGCAGGCCGCCCCTTAGGGGCGCCCCACCCCGCCCGACGATCCCCCATGGCGCCCAGAGAGCAGGGCGAAGGAGGGGTGCGGGCAGGGGGGGGCACGGCCACATGGACACTGAGGCAACTGGCCACCTCCTCCAAAATACAAAATCAAAATACCGAGCCTTCGACCACCCACACAAGGACGGCACGGCCTGCCACCCCAGGTGCAGCAAGCGCCAGGACGGTTGCGGGCCATGCCCCAGATGTGGGGTTGCGCACGGATGCCTGCCCCTAAGGTCAGCATTAGGCCGTACGCACTGGCTGGTGATCCAAGAAGCCCTGAACCCTGACGGGGGCTCCAAGGGCTCGAGGGAAATCCGCAGGCCGAATCCCCGTAGGGCGCCCCCGCTCCCGCCCAACGATCCTCCTAGGCCCAATCGGCCGACGGGAGGGGTGCGGGCGGGGGGCATCGCCAAGGCTGAAATAAATCGGCAAATAAAGCCCGAGTAGAACGCAAATAAATCAAAACCATCAATCAGGAGAATATTCGACCACCCACACAAGGACGACACGGCCCACCACCCCAGGTGCAGGCAGCGCCTGGACGGTGGCAAGCCGCGCCCCAGATGTGGGGTATGCGCACGGATGCCTGCCCTGAGGGTCAGCCGCATCGGGCCGTGCGCAAGAATGGACATGAAACCAAGAGAACACGACAAGTCTGGGCAAACTTATATTGTGGCACCCCTCATGCCCTCTACCTGGTCATGCCACCACTCCGCGGGGCTGTGGAGGACACGCCAGGGGCGGCTCAGGCGGGTGCCTTTAGGCCACGGGAGCCTCCCACGACGGAAGTCTCGTACCTGGGCAACCTTCTTATGTCCGCAGGGGCCCAGGAGATGTCTGGGGGTCTTGGTGCAGTATGACCCGCACCTGGAGCAATACAGCACAGGAATACCCGAGCCTTCTTTTTTTGGCGGCCCACAGCTTGTGCCCTGGAGTAGGCAAATCTTTCCCACTGACCAGGGCCCCAAAACTGGGTGGAAAGGCAGCACATCTGGATTCTCTCGAAGGCGGAGCTTTGAAACTCTTGGCGCAAGCCAAACATTGCCAAAGACGGCCGTTCCAAAGCACATTATGCTGCCTAGAGTTTTGGGGGGGTGGCCTTAAACTCTTAGATTATTTGTAAAGAGTTCCGTGCATCTCACGGGCCGTTGGCCAAAGTTCAAGGATTGCTGCTGCAGCCTTGAACACGGCAAACCAACCATCTAGGGAATAGTTAACTGCATCGGCGTCCTGGGGGCAGGCGAATTTTCTGGCGGCCTCACGACATAGAACATCAGCCCAAGCATTGCCCAAGACAATTAGTTGTTCGGCCCATTCCCGATCTCCACGGAATAGTGATTGGTGAGCCTTAACCTTATGTATAGTGAATTGCTTATCTAGCTTATGAATCGCGCGCCAGTGTCCCGCCTGTTGGGACGTGCCATCTAAGGCACGGAATGAAAAGGCACATCCTGTCAGTAGAGCCTGGCAGTCAGCAAACAAATCTGCTTCCTCATCGAATCTTGCTGGGTCTTGCCAGAGGTGTCGGAGTCCCTGGAGAAGGCCGTGGTGTTCAGCCCAAGTCGCACTTTGGGGAAAACGCTTCGGCAGTGGACCCCTAACAGCTCTTTTAAGATCACCTCCAGCAGTCATTTCCACAGCCGCCCAGCCCGCTCGGGCCAGTTCGGGCTTCGTTGGTTCTAGGCAGCTACCGTCGATGAAGATCTGAGTAGGGCATGTGAAATCAAACTCGTCAATCTCGCCCCCCCTGTCGATGTACTCAACTTGGTCATCGTCTGGGGGCTGCTGCTTAATCTCGGGCACGGGGATCCAGAGGCTGGTGTACAAGGGGTCCTTGCCCTCCTCCTCCTCCTCATCCTCCTCCTCGTCCTCCTCCTCCTCCTCCTCCTCCTCCTGCTTCTCCTCCCCCGGCTCACCCCGAACGGCTCGGTCACGGTTCACCGGGCAGCTCCTGCCGCGCCACGCTGCCTTTCCCCTCGCTCAGTGGCCAGCTGGGCCCGCAGCCACGCGCACCCCAGGCGGCGCGGGCCGCCCGGGCCCTGGGAAGCAGCTGTAGCGGCTCCCCAGACCCCCTCGAGTCGTGAAAATCACGGCAGCATGTTTTTCGCTACTTTTGGCTTCCAGGGGCCCTCGCCGGGCCTCGTGGCCGTCAAAAAACGATTCAGGACCAGAAGCCGGTCCTGGGGAATGAGTCGAGACCTCTGGGGGTTGACGTCCGGAAGAAAATCATGACTCGGCGGCGAGCGAGGGGGGAAGTGAGAAGGAGGAGGCCTTCTCAGAAGGCTCGGAAGTCCCCCAGCCTTCTGAGAATGCCTTCCCCAAAAACATAGAAAACCTCTTAAAGGCGCGAGGGCTTGTGAGAAGTCCCGTCGCCTTCTGAGAAGGCCTTCTCCTTCTCACTTCTCCCGCTCGCTCGCCGCCGAATGACGTCGGGGGTCTGGGTCTGGCACAATGTATGGCAGACAGCATGAACACGGGAAAAGAGAAGGGCCCCCACGAGGGTTCGAGAACGTCGTCGCCGCCGCCTTCGACGTCGTCGACGTCGACGTCGACGTCGTCGTCGTCGTCGCCGTCGCCGTCGCCGTCGCCGTCGCCGTCGCCGTCGCCGTCGTCGTCGCCGTCGTCGCCGTCGTCGTCGCCGTCGTCGTCGCCGTCGTCGTCGTCGTCGTCGCCGTCCTCGTCCTCGTCGTCGTCGTCGTCGTCCTCCTCCTCGTCGTCGTCGTCGTCGTCCCCTTCCAGGGTCGGCGGCACTGTCCGCAAGGCCTTCGCAACGTATGGTAGACGGCACGAGAACGGGAGAAGAGACAGCAGCCAACACTCGACTGGGAGGGCCGAGAAGGGAGGTCCGATTGCTGCTTGAACAGCAATTGGGGAATGAAGGCGTGGAGGGCACGGGTGAGAATCATTCGGAGGTGGCAGATCCCTGTGGAGAGACTGCGAACGCGGCAAGGTACAAGAGCGAACGAGGACAAAACGGCAGACAACGAGCTGCGCACATGCGAGCATGCATATATTTACATGTCCATACATCTGTGTGTGTGTTCGACCTGAGGTGGCTACCAGCACAAATGGGAACGTTCTGAATCGGAGACGCATTTGGGAGGCAGGAAGGCACACGGAGGCAGCAAGGATAAAACCGACAACGACGCATTACAGAGACGATGGAGGTGGTCCATGGGAACAGCACTCGTCACCACACACCAACATGAACGATGAGTGCGGTGGCACACCGCGCGAAAAGAAACAGCTGGGGGGAAGAAAGAGAGAGAGAGAGTAGGAACCTGGTAAAAAAAATACGAAAACTAGGGAGGAGAGCGGGCTACCCAATATGAGTACATGTATGTGTATACACATCTACGCATGCAGAAATGAATCGAAGTCCCTACGTCAACGTGCGGAGAAACTACTGCTACGAGAACCAAGGAAACCAACAACGACAACCTACAAACTGCTTATCCGTGGCAGCGCATCGTCAGCGACACCCATGGCACTCCTCCATTCCATCATAATGAACTTCATACAAGCCAGTACCACGGCACATGCGACCGATTATACCTTGATCCGTCGCCTCATCCTGCCCTTCTTCCTCCTCCTCCGCATCTCCTTCCTCCTTACCATCTGGGTTCTCACCCTGCTGATCCTGCAACTCCTCTTCTTCCGATCCTACAATTGAACATGTCTCGGCGAAGCCTGGAACGCCCCTCAAACTAAATGAGCTGGCACAACGCTGTCTGGTATTGTGCTAGACACATCGGCGTGAGCTGTACCAACAGCTCCTACGCCGAATCTAATGAACGCATCCTGCGATACGATCGCATCGACCTAGGATTAGCACTAGTCCTTCTCCTTGTCCTCCTGCCACTCCTCCCCGTTCGTGTTACGTGTTTCTCCTCCTCCTCCTCCTCCTCCTCGTCATCATCATCATCATCATCATCATCATCATCATCATCATCATCATCATCAGCTGCATGATCTCCTCCTCCTCCTCCTGCTCCTCCTCTCCTCCTTCCTTCCTCCGTAGCCATTTTGGCTCAAGTCCGTAGCGTGAGGTTCAGGGCTTGACGAGTGGCGGGGGGGATTTCACGGCCCCCAACTGCTTTCGCTTGTCGCCAGGCACACATCCTCGACACATCCTCGAGAAAGTACCGCTGTTTTGCTCACACTGTACCCCGCGTTCCATGGCTAATGGTTCCTCTTCGCATGCCGCTGCCGCGAACAAGACCTCAGCCGTCTCGGATCGCAGGACCTGGGCCGCCCCCTGGCTTTGCCGCTGGTGTACGCACCCGCGCACAGGAGCCAAGTGGTGGAATCGTGGAGATTGCCAGCAATGTACCAGCTGTCGCGTCGCTAAGGGGGCCAGCTTCGGAGGCCCCAAGCCCACCGACGGCCCGCCAAGTCAGAGGCCAGCCACGACCAGTGTGCGGCGCAAAGGGGACAGTGCGCGGCCTTGGTCGGATGTGGCGGCCAAGGACCGCGAGATCGCACAGCTCAAGGCGCAGCTCAAGGCGGCCAACGCCCCTGCTGTGGACGAGGACGCCAACGATGCCGACGACCCTCAGGGACGGCTCGCGGAGATTGCCTCGCTCCTCCGTGCCTTGGGCTCAAGCACCGACCCAGCCATCATGGGCGCGCGGGAGGCCCTGTCCAAGGAGCGGGAGGCCATCAAGCTGCGCATCGTCGAAGCGAAGCCCTACGCGGGCCAGCTCCACCACTACACCACCCGCATCGATGCGCTCGGGCAGGCGAAGGACAAGCGCCAGGCAGCGCTGCAGGACCTGCAGGAGCAGCGCCAGCGCCTGGACGACAGGATTGCCGAGACGGAAGGCCAGATCGCTGAGATCATGGCCGAGGTGCAAGAGCTGGAGGCGCTGCGCTGGAAAGTCTCGGCCAAGGCACCAACTGCTGCCCCTGGCGAGTGCTCCCTGCGCACGCTCGTGCCCGCGGTCGACATTTCGGTCGAGAAGATGGGCGAGATGCTCCAGGGCCTGGGCGCTGACGACCAGCTGGCGCAGTCGGTGGCCACGGTCTTCAGCCAGCTGCGGGCGCTGGCGGACAAGGCAGCTGCAGCAGGGTCGGACGCTTCGCCAGCACCAGGGCAACCTGCAGGAGGCAGCTCCAGTGCAGCGGCGCCCAGCGGACCTGCAAGTATGCCGACGGCGGGCCAGCAGCAAGCGGCACAAGCCAGGCCAGTTCCCATGGACACCGACGACCTGGATGAGTTGCGGGAGTTTCTGCGCAACGCCACGGGCGAGGACCCTCCGCAGGAGGAGGCGCAGGTCAGGGAGGCCATCAAGCGGATGGCCACCGCGATGGAGACACTTCAGGCCAAACGGCAGCGCACGGGTCAAGCCTGAAATTCATGACAGAACAGATGTGGTGCGAGAGTCTGCGGGCCTGAGCTCAGGTTCGCAGGCTGGGGGAGACACCGCCCCGAGCCCTGGGGTGGTGGCCAACCTACCACGGCACGCGAACGTTGCGGGGCCGCGGCTTGGAGAGGAGGCCTACAGCCAGGGCCCTAATTTGGTGTCTACCGTCGCCTTAGTGCTGTGGTTCGAGGCCCTGCGCTGCCGATTGGTGGACCAAGCGGCTTTCGTCCTCTCCTACCTGGTAAAGTTCGTGTTAGTCTTCTGGTTTGTGAAGTTCTGGACGGCCACCAACTTCAATTACGATATCCAGCTGAAGATAGGGTACCACAGCGGGCGGCTAGGGCAAGTGCTGTCGACGGGCTCCCTTGGTAGCCGCGCGGATGCGGGCTTTAAAGTCGTCCGACCTTCCCCAAGGTCCGCGCCTCGGGAGCCAACGGGACCCAGCACCGCTGCCGCTAGTCGTCGCACAAGCTCACGATGCGCTGCTACCCCCTCTTCGCCGTGTACGCTGCAGGAACGTGCGCGCGGTCCCGTAACATGGGGCCGCCCCCGTCGCTTCCGCCCTGGCCGCTATCGGGGGTTATGTTTCGCTCTGGTCGCGTGCTTGTTCGAGGGGGTGCATGCCAAAGGCTCCAACGTGAACCAGGTCCTCACCTCCAACCTTACGTCCCATGGAGCTATGGTTGGAGTCTTGAGTGCGCCCTGCAGCTACAAGTCTATTCTCTGCCTGCAGGAGCATCACGGCGACGAGCAGCGCCTCCCTGAGCTCCAGAACACAGCGCGCCAGCACGGGTTTCATGGTGTATGGACTGTGGCCGCACCCACGGGCCGAGGCGGCACTTGCGGCGGATGCGCTATACTTGTACCGAAACATTTGCGGCTTGGAATGGGGCCTCTGCTGACCTCATCGACTCTCGCGCCAGGCCGAATCACGGTAGGACATGCCAGCTGGGGACCACGGGGAGGCACAGTGGTGGTCTCCATCTACTTGGTCGACTCGGTGGGGCTCAATCAAGAGAATATGGATCTGCTTACCACGCTGGCTCAATACCTGGAGGCGCTCAATGGTTTGGGACAGCCATGGATTGTGGCAGGCGACTGGAACATGGACCCAGCGAGCACACTGGACTGGATGCACTCGGTACACGGAGTTCAGCAGGCCCCAGCCCAACCCACATGCAATGCCACGCAACCTGGCACTACCAGGGATTATTTCTGCGTCTCTGCTGCCCTGGTCGATTGGATTCGCGGATGCGAAGTCGGAGTGGCAGCGACTTTCCCGCATCAGCCTGTGCAGTTGGGGTTTCAGTACTGCGCACATGAGCAGTGGGCACGCGTCCCTGTTACACCACGTCCACTCCCGACGGTGCCGAAAGTGGGCTGTGCCAGGTTCCCACCCACACGGCAATGGGCACGGGTGCAGCAGCTCATTGATCAAGCTTCAGACGGTGTGACTTTGGCTGCGGCGTGGGATGGGGTTATTACCACTATGGAACACGAGATCCTCAACCGCAATGACATAATGGACATGACGCAGCGGGGACTTCATCACGGCCGAGCTGGTCCCGACCAATGGGTATGGAAGCGGGTACAGGCCCTCGTACCACCGAGGCCCAAGCGGTTGAGCGCCTACCAGCAGTATGGCAAATGGTGTCGGCATCTGCGCTCCACGCACACACGCATGCTTACGGCCCTCCAGCGCATAATGGAGGAGGCAGATGCGAACCGTTTCCCCGCAAGGCTTTTGCCAGACATTTACGGCCAGCACGGGCAGTACGTCAACAGCCTAGGTAGCCCAGTCCAGGGTCAGTTCAAGGAGCAGCGGTTGTTGGCACAACTCAGTCGGGATCTTCAGGGATTCTTCGCGCGGGTAGTACGTACTGGCTGGGTTGGGCCGCTGCTTGATTACGAAGATCGACTCCAGCTCCACAGTTACCACGACACGTTTTATGAGCCTGACTTCCTAGACAGGATCGACCGAGCGCTTGACAAGGTGAGTCGCGTGACGGAGGCCATACGCAAGTATGCTGGCATTGAATGGGCGCAGTGGGCCAAGCAAGCGTTTCAGAATGGGGCTGGCAAAGCGCACAGATACACTAGAGTGCGTGAACTACAAGAGACGTTGCAGTATGCCGAGAAGGACCGTGGCCAACCGCACCACATGGCTGATGAATGCTTGGAGTTTTGGAAGGGTGTCTGGACCATTCATGAGGATCGAGCTGTCGCCACGCCGGCAGTTCAAGCAGATTGGGAGGAGCTACCCGAGATCACAATCGACGACATTCGTAACACCCTCAGACGATTCAAAGCCACCACGGCGCTTGGGCAGGTATCGATTCAACCGCGCGCATTGACCCAAGTATCGGACATGGGATTGGGCGTCCTTGCATCTCTCTATCAGCAATGCGAGAAGTTGGCGTGTTGGCCGACGCAGAGGGTCACCACGGTGCTAGTGAGGCTTCCCAAGCCCACGGGGGGCCACCGCCTCATTGCGCTCATCAATACTGTGGTCCGCATTTGGAGCCGATTACGACGACGGATCTCTAAGCAGTGGGAGCTCGCCAACCCTTCTACCGCCTTTTGGGGCACGAGGCCTGGTGCGACTTCTACCGATGCTGCGTTTCAACACAACATAGCTGCGGAAACGGCGAAGCTCAATGGCATGCATACGGTCAGTGCACTGATTGACATGTACAAGTGTTTCGAGACGATACGATTTACTGCGCTGCTTGACAGGGCTAGTAAGATGCAATTTCCGATGAGATTACTTTGGATGCTGATTCACACATATCAGGCACCACGGCAGGTGCGAGCTTACGGGTCATTGTCCACCAAATTCACCTCCGCGCAGGGCATATTGGCGGGATGCTCTCACGCCTGCGCCATGGTCCACCTGCTCCTCTGCCAGTCCTTGGAGGCCCTACGCAGTAAGTATGCGGATGTGGTGCCACGGGCTTTGATGGATGACGTCAGCTTTCAATGGATTGGGGCAGAACCTTCTCAGGCGGTCGTCCTATTTCATGCTGTTCGATGGTTTATTCGCCAGGTGCAGCCACTGGGTCTCATCATTCAGGTGGACAAAAGTGGTTGTGTGGGTGGCACTACTGCGGCGACGCGAGTGGCGAAGAAGCTTGGTGGACTTATTCGGTTTCGCTGCCACAAGCACATGCGCAATCTAGGACACGAGCTTGCGGGGGTGCGACTCAGACGTATTCAAGAGAGAAAGCGTGTCATGGGCGTCCTGGCCAGGAGGGGCAAGTTGGCGGCGTTGCAACGGGGCCGAGCCCAGGTTCACACTCTGTGGCGCACGGGCCTGTTGCCTGCTGCCGCACATGGAGCGGGAGCTAGCGGCGTCGTCCCTGCCACGCTGGCAAAGCTCCGCACGCTGGCAGGCTCTTTGGTGGGAGCCAAATCACACGCCAGTCTTACGGCTTGGCTTGCCACTCAGAGCGATGAATGGTTTGACCCGATATTCGATGTCACGACCGAGCTAGTCTGCAGATACGCGATCACAGTTTGGGATGGATTGGTACCACTCAGTCAGTTACAGCGGGCGTGGGCTGCCATGATGGAATCTTGGAATGGTGAATTCACGTGGGCCAGATGTAATGGGCCTCTCTCGGCGGTTTCGCTCAGCCTGCACAGGGTGGACTGGAAGATGGCGTCGGCACATATGCTATACGACGATCAGGGCACCCTCGTTAACCTTCTTACCACTACGCCTTGGGATGTGAAGCTGTTGCTGCGACAGAGCATTGGACGATGGCAGATGCTTCGCATTGTCAGCCACATGCAACCCATAGTTGGGAATCCTCATGGAGTCTGGAGGCGAGCACTTCGCAACTCAGTTCTCAGCTTGAAGAATCCGATCCATAGAGGCTGCGCCCGCAGATTGCTCGGCTCCGCATTGTGGCCCCCAGCGAGAAAGAAGGCTCTTGGGATCTCTGACAGTCACCAGTGCGAGATTTGTGAGAGTTCTGAGGCTGGCACGTTGGGGCACCAGTTGTACAACTGTGAGGGGGTCCTTCACCCACCTGAGGAGCTGCCTGTTGAATCCCTTTCAGAGGAGGTCTTGGAGCGCAGGGCGTATCTGCGGGGTCTTGGGGACAATGGGCTAGGCGACCCAGAGTGGGATTCTCTGGAGCTGTACGGGCTGCCTTACCATCCCATTAAGCTTTCGCCCCAACCCACGCAGAGCCCTGTGTTCCACTGGGGGGCTACGCATCTTCCCTGGGGTCGGCGGATCTACACTGACGGCTCGGGGCTCGCGAACGCGAGCCCTGAACTGCGCAGGTGTGGATGGGCCGCGGTGGAGCTGTCGGACTCTGGGCTGCCCGTGAGGGCGGTGTTTGGGCCGCTCCCTGGGCGCCAATCGGTGCCCCGTGCGGAGCGGTACGCGGGCTTGATGGCTTTCTCGGTAGCCCCCCAGGCGACCACAATATATAGTGATCATTTAGCCTTTGTGCAGGAAGGCCAGAGCTGGAGCCCCCAGCTTGCCTGTGGGTTGTCCCGACACGCGGATGTGTGGCGCCGTATCTTCCAGCTCTTCGAGCAACATAGGCCACCGCCCGAGTTTGAATGGGTCCCTGCCCACAGAGACATCGACGATGTCATGGCTCTGGAGCAAGGACAGATCACCCGCTACTTGGGTAACTCTTGGGCCGATTTTTTTGCGCGCCTTGGAGCCCAGGATCATCAGTACGCGCAGGTTTGTCTGGACGCGGAGAAGGCCCATTTGAAGGCCAGCAAAGCCACCTGGGGATTCTTGGCGCGCGCGGTCCATATCATTGGGGAGTACTCCAAGGCGTTTGAGCCCCCAATGACCCCCGTTGGTCAGCCCGTGGAGCGAATCAGTTTGACACTCGTGGAGCACGAGATTTATCGCCTGCCGACTCGTGCTGAATGGCGCTGCAGGAAGTGTAATATGTCGGCCAGGAGCGAAGCCACACTGCGAGTGATGTGCAGTGGGGCTGCTAGGCGGTGCCAGGGCAGTGATCTGGAGCGCTGCCGCGCTGACATCATTTTCTCTGCCGAACCCCAGGCTCGTCTCCACACTGCGAGCAGCCCCGCGGTGTCAGATCCTGTTCCTCCCTCGCTGGGCCAGGACCCCTCCTCTCCTTCCGTGCCCGACGCCGCGGTGGGGGCTGGGTTGAACGCCATCGCTGCTCTGGGCCACAGGCCCGTCCGCCACGGTAGGGTGATCATCTGTCAGAGGTGCGCTGGATACTGGATCCTCCCCGACGGCAAATGCCGCAAGCTTGGTCGAGTGTGCGAAGGGGAGGCCAAGGTAGCCAGCACGATTCAGAATCACCGCATGTACTGGCGACACGCAGAGGTAGGTTGCCACCCCAAAACGGGCGAGGTTTTGGGTCCGTGGGATGGTGCCCTTGTTTCTGGTTCGGAGCCTGGTGCCGTTTGTTTCCCGTCTTCCGAGGCGTCTGGACCAAGGGCTAGCTCTGCGTGTTCGGCCAACCAGGATAGTATGGAGCAAAGACACTGTGGTGGTCGTGTCGAGACGTCGTCCCGTCGTACACCACGTCCTTGCCCGCCTTCGGCAGCCTCGCTCGATGCCCGAGCGAATGCTGCGAGCACGGTTTTGTCTCAGGCCCCGTCGGAGCCTGCTTCGGACTCTGATTGAATCAGAGTCGGCCTCCCGCTCATACTCCACAACGCTGGAGGCCAGTGTTCGGTGCGCGGAGCACCCCCAGTCGCCAGGCCTTCACCCCTGGCCCTCATCACTGCTCGGCGCTAGTCACAGACCTGCGCCTCGGCAGCCGAAAGCCGAAAGCCTCCTCCTCTTCCTCCTCCTCCTCCTCCTGCTCCTCCTCCTCCTCCTCCTCCTCCCCCCTTCATGCTTACCCGACTATCCCTGACACTGCCCCGCCCTCTTCACCCCCCAACGCCCCCCTCCTCCACCTGATATTCCCCCTCATGCTCCTCCTCTTCCTCCTGTTCCGCCTCGTTTACCCCCTTCTACTCCTCATGCCCCCTCCTCCTCCTCATCATCATCAGCTGCATGATCTCCTCCTCCTCCTCCTCCTCCTCCTCCTCCTCCTCCTCCTCCTCCTCCTCCTCCTCATCCTCCCCCCTTCATGCTTACCCGACTATCCCTGACACTGCCCCGCCCCCTTCACCCCCCAATCCCCCCCTCACGCTCCTCCTCTTCCTCCTGTTCCGCCTCGTTACCCCTCTTCTACTCCTCATGCCCCCTGCTCCTCCACATTCGTGCCGCTGCTACTGAGGTTCCCCGTGCTCCCCGTGTCCCCCGCCTTCCTCGTCCGCCGCCGTCACCTTTCGCTCCTCTGCTCCCTCCTGTTCCTCCTCCTACCTCTCCTGCCCCTCCTTCTCCTTTTCATCCCCCTTCCTCCCAGGTCCATCCTGATCCATTCTCGGTATCCTCCTTCTTTATCGCACTTCTCCACCGCATTCTGATCGCCGCCGTCGTCGCATCATGTCTCCCCCTCCCCCTCCGTCAGCAGCTTTGGAACCCCTGTCGGTCGCAAATCTCCGTCTCGTATATGAATGCTCCTTCGAAGCACGCTGCCCTGTCTGCCGTTCACTTGTCTCGCCCGACCCAAAACTCCAGCGAGGCGCGTCTTCAATGCAGCGGGGCCACCACAGCAAGAAACTTCCGCAGTCGAAACGAGCACTGCAGTCCTCATTAGTCCTCCTGTGAATCAGGATTTGGGCAGGATTCGGGCGGCCGAACTGCCTGGCCCAGCCCAGGACGACCGAAGAGCGACACGGTAAGAGAGAAGGCAGATTCCCGTCTTCAGTTCTCGGAGCAGAGCCAGCTGAGAAAACGGCGGCGCCACCGCCAGGCAAAATCATGTCAACATCATGTCCACGGACCCCTCCCAGGGTGGATCCGGACCCGTTGTTCGAGGCGGATCCAGCCGTGGCCACGAGAAGCCTCCGGTCGGCCCCAGGAGAGCATGGACAACGCCAGGCAAGGCAGCCGTTCTCGACTGGCGGGCCCTGCCCCCAAACACCGACCAGGAGGCTGAAAGCACACATGGCCAGACACACCTGCGGAACGTGTGAAGGCCACGCGCTGGACACGCGTGCGGAAGCCCGGTCCGCACGGCCACAAAAGGGCCGAGCGCTGGAAAGACATGCTGCCACATCGCGTGCGCAGCTCTCGCCCACGCCAACCACGCCACGTGGCCGATCCCACATGCCCTGAGACGACTGTTGAGCCAGGATGGGCCCCGAGCGGTGTGCGTTCTGGCAGAAGGTGTGCAGATCTAGATCGAGCACCCTGCGTGGTGTCGTCTGCGTGGTGCAATGATGGTTGTGCAGTATAGATGTTGTGCAGTAAACGTGGTGCTATAGATGCGCACGTTAGATTGTGCAAGTGTTGTGGATCAGTCTATGTGGTGCAGCTTATGTGGTGCAACTCACTTTGACCGTCTTGAAGCTGTCCTCTCCACTGCTCGTGCACACATTCCACCCTCCCACCCGCAACTTGGTCGCAAGACCTCTTAAAGACAAGACCGTGACGGTAGGTACCAGATGGCACTTGGCCACGACACCGACGCCGACGACGACAGCGACAACGACGACGACGGCGCCGCCGACACCGACGACGACGACACCGACGACGTCTCCAACGACTTCGACGTCTCCAACGACTTCGACGACGACGACGACGACGACTCCGACGACGACGACGCCGACGACGACGACGATGACAACGACGACAACGACGCCGACGTCGACGACGCCGACGACGACGAAGACAACGACGACGACGACGACGACGACGACGACAACGACGTCGCCAACGAAGACGACGACGAGGGAGGAGGGAGGACGACGACGGCGACAACGACGACAACGACGACAACGACGAGGGAGGACGGAGGACGGCGACGACGCGAACGACGAAGAAGGAGGAAGGACGGCGACGCCGAC